TTTTTTTTTCGGGTTTTTTCTACTTTGTTTAAGCTCTTTTAAATTTAGACTACTGTTTTCTGTAGCACCTTTCTTCCGCTGTAAAAACTGTTCTTTTTATTCCTTCATTTTTTACAGAAATAACGATAGCAAACACAAATGTGGTCATCAAAAAGCACATTACTGCTTGAAGATTTTTGCTCAATTTTTCCCAGTCAGATGACAAAACTGCCCGTTTTTTTTTCTCATTCTTTCGCATCGTTTTCCTTTATCGACGAATAATCCTTCTAGCTGTGTAAAATTGATAGATCTGCTAGACTTTAAATTAACTATAGTGTTTTAATAAGTATCTGAAGTTATTATAAAACTTATCATTTTAGCTAATTGAAGTGTTCAATCAAAAATATGCGCAAAATATACGCATATAAATACGGCATCACTTACAGCAAAATACTTTCCGACCCTTGATAAATTGTTATTTGTGTTACTGCTGCTGCTGCTATAGTCGTTATTAAAATTAATTACTTGTTTCACCTAATTATCATCAACTATATTCTGCCTTCTACTATGTTTTAAACCTAAGAGAAAAAAGAAACAATTGAGTATGCAAATAAATAAGTACATGAAATGATTTTAAAAAAAGAAAGTTTGATAGCACTCATGATGAAGAAAACGTTAAAAAAAAAAAACAGACTGCCTGGAAATGTAATGGTATTTGAAGACAGGAAAAGGAAGAAGGAGAAGGATAATGAAGAAAAGAAGAAAGAGGCAAAAAAATCAAAAGTTGTTTTGCTGATAAAATGCCTGTGTGATCTTTAGGTTTTTGGCCAAAAATGATTCTGGTGCCCAGTGCCGCTGCTGCTGCTGCTGCTACTGCTGCTGCTACTGCTGCTGCTCCTGCTGATGCTAATCAAATTTATTGTTTCTTTTCAGTCCTTTTCTTCAAATGGCGAATACGGTATTATTACATTTCCGAGTCACCGCCGCAGCCGCTGCTATCCGCAAACACCGCTGCAGCCATCGCTACCATTACCGCGGCTACCATTGCTGCTGTTATTTGTCTGTTGATCATTGCTGTGAATTTAGCGCTGAGCCACGCGACAGCTGCACAGACTGCACAGAGGGACTGGGGAGAGTGACTGAGTGAGTGAGTGAGAACTGTGAAGAGTTCGCAGAAGGAGCATTAGAAGAGGCGCTGGAGGTTGAAAGCACCCAATGGCGACGACGTTTTTACTGATAGTGATGAATTACATTTGTCATATAAAAACGAAATTTTATTTTCTTTCCTCTATTGTTTTCCTCTTTCATTCTGCTCATCTGTACGTCTATAAGATCAATTAAACAAAAAAAGAAATGCATTTAAAAGCAAGAAAAAAAAAACGAAGAGAACAAAAATTGTATTATTCTTTTACTAAGCATCAAATCTCAAGACAGATGATGATAGAAGAAATGATGACAATTTTGATACAAAATGTTTTCTTCAGATATAATAAAAAATGAAAAAAAAAAAAAAAAAGTGAAATTACCTATCAACAGACTTAA